TACAATACAATACACCTGAGGATGACCTCTTGAGGTCGAAACATGTAGTGTAATAATAATAAAAATATGTTGTGTGGTCGGTAAAATTGACTCTAATAAAGATATTGTGATACCACAGGATTTAGAAAAAGAATATATAGGCTGCAGGTGACTTCTAGAAACCAGTGAAAAACCCCTCTAGTAACAGAATGAGAACTTTCTACAAAAGATCATTTCTCTTTGGTTGATGTCCTAGTGCAGATTACCTGAAGCAGGAAGGGATATGGATGGGCCGATCTGTTTACCATGTAATTTATATCACTTAATTGTTTAATCTCTTTTGATAAACGTATTGTAAAATTGCTTCAAGATAATTTTGTATGTTCATACTGTAATGTGTAGTTTACACTTATAAGCATTCTTAATATGTAGCTAAAATTGATTGGATTTATTAAAGTTTTGAGGTAGGCTTTTGTATGAATGGCACATATTGAGGTTGTACAGCTTAAGGATGTATTTATATAAATAGGTAAAGAAGCAAATAAACTGCTGTAAGGTTATCTAAGATTATTTAGTGCTCTGGCCCTGGTCATTGCAATTGTCATCAGCTATTTATCTAGAGGCACCAGATTAATGTAACATAAAAATGGAAGTAAATTTTATTTGCTATCATATTATCTGAAATATGCAATGGGAATCTCTTCAGTTGCAGTACCATATACTTACAAGACCTTATTTTTCCTTCTTATTACATGCTGGACCATAGGTACCAGCAGAGGGAAGCAGGCATTGTCAAGTCAGGCGCCTTGCCACTCCCTAGGATATTTGGAAATAAATCTAAACTTACGGAAGGAAATATGCAAAACATTAACACCAAAAATGAAATCTTCTATCATAATACTCTGCAGAAATCTGCAAAAATAGACTTAAGGGGCTTTTCATCATAAGATTCCAAGCAAATTTTCTGGCTTGCTCCATTTGAAAAACTGGCTTCAGAGTCAATGGCAGTGAAGTGGAAAACAATTTGAATATGCCTTTAAATAAAGGTACATAGTGAATCAGCAATATTTATAACATACTAACGATGGATAAGGTTTAAAAGTTTCTGGCATTAGAATAAATTTTATTAACATTCATTAAGCACAGATTCTGTAAATGAATGAGCTTATCTTTAAAACTGTAATGCATAATAATACTATTTTGATCACTAATCAACAAATTTTAACATTGAATTTCAAAGACCAAGAACCTTGTTCTACATAATCTTAGGCAATCTTAAGGAAATAATTCTTAGCAGTTTCATTGTATAAAATGTAATACAAAAACTAAATGTATGCAAATTTATGTCAGAGAGTATGTTTTTAATTTGTATTTGGAAACATATCTCTTTCTACCAAGAAAGTCTTAGAACAACTGAATGAGCTGCTATTGCTGATAGGTCTTATCAGTACTCAGTGTATGGACATAACCTGTTCCTTTGTCTCGCTGTAACTGGTGTATAATGTAGTCACACACAACTGTACCAAACATGATCTCAGAAATATACTGTGCGTGGAATATGAAACTGAGTTTTGCTAAATGATGATGATACTTTGTTCATACATTTCTAACATTTCCTGATATGGAAGTATGAAGTTATCCTTATGCCATGTTATAGGAATGTGGATGTAAGGTCCTATGCATTCTTTCTTATCCTGGGCACCTGTTCAAAGCAAGCGGTCATAGTCATAGCTTGGATGTTTCACCCTATGGACAGAACCCCAATTATCTGTTGAAGAAGAATCTGGGCAGGCCATAGTTCCATCATGAATTTACAACACTTCTACTGAGGTATGAATTGCAGATCCAGTTCTTAGCCAGTCATGTTATGAAGCTGTAATGACATGTATATAGAATGTACAGTTTGATGATAGGCTGGTCCCACAGCAAAGTTAAAAAAGGTAAAGTAAAGGTATCCCTGTAACAGGCTGTGGAGGCCTATAGGGTTGTGAGATGTTGAGGTTCCCACATTTTCTAGACAGCTCATAGATGGCAGTTGACACGCTAATTCTTCCCACTTACTCCTGCTGCGGTGCCTGGTAATTCACTGTCTGCTCTTCTGCTGTACCTTATTTTATAGAAAAATCTTGAAATGACGACCCTCTCCTTCTTTGCATGCTTTCCATCATAGGAATATGTTTCCAGACGCAAGTCAACGCTGCTGCATGCAATTAGTGGAAATTTTGTGTCTAATTTATTGAATTTTTTTCCAAAGACTGGATTAACCAAATACCATTTCTTTCCTCTGTGCTTCATAAATGAAAGTAACAAGGATTTAAATCAGGTGATCGCAGAAACCAGAAGCCCAAAAGTACAGGCTTACAAGACCTGATAGTTAAATTTAGGATGCAGTTGTATGGACATGTCTCATATAAAGTTGGTAATGTGCATCTTGAGTAGACTAGTGGGACGAAAACGGACATGGTGGAGGGACATAACAAATGACGATTGAGCATAAATGATCATTGCAATGATCAAAGATTGGGTCTTAGGGCATAATACTGTATATGATTATTTCGAATGATGTGAGTAGGGAAATCAAGTAGTAGGTGCTGAGATATAAGGGATGAAGATGATGGATAAATGACCACTGGCATCAAAGCTCAGGTGGAGTGACAAAAAGTAGAAGAGTGGCTGTCACAGAACTTTCTTTTCAATGAATAAGTCTGTGTGGCTGTAGCACTCTCGACTGATATTCGGGAGATTCTAATCTCGGCATGGACTCCAGCTATCCTGAAGTTCCTCATGGCTTTCCTCAGTCCTGAGCAAATGCCAGGATATTATCTGCACCAGGCCACAACCACATCCATCAAAATCCTTTCGAATTCAACATGAATATGTTGTTATATCATTCAACGCTATATAATCTACTCATAAGTAACTCCCCCCCCCCACTTGTTTCTTGCACTATGTTGTTCACTTGTAATAGCCTGAGGTTCAATTCTCGGCAGATTTATTGGGATTGTCTTCCAGTTTTACCCACAGAGTGGCTGTGGGACATATCCATCCTCCTGTTCCAGGTGATGACTCTGCCTATGAGTGAGGGGTGCACTCACATCAGTGGATTAAGAGGAAACCTCTATGCCTTCATGACGTGGTTCACAACTGCTCTGTTAGCATGCCATAAGCTATAGGCATTCACCATCACTGCTTGCCCAATGATAGATATCAATTCTGACAGACATCGGGTTGGTCTTACATTCCTAGCACTAGTTTATCACCAGAGGCAAACAAACTTAACCCACTGAACAGAGCAAAGTCCAGAGGTTTTGAAAAGGAAGGTTTATTGCGGCATCCACAGGAGACCTCCACTGGCCCATAACCTGAACTAGATGAGTCCAGTTTACAACTAACACAGTTAATTCATCAATTTACTTACTTACTTACTCATGGAGCCGAGCCCTTCTGGAGGAGCTGCCAATTCTGCAACTACTCAAGAATTTCCCAGCATTTTATGGAACCCAAAGGTTCATTACCATGTTCACAAGAGCCCTCCTCTGGACCCTATCCTGAGCCAGATCAATCCAATCCATACCATCCCATCCTATCTCTCTAAGATCCATTTTAATATTGTCCACCCACCTATGTCTTGGTCTCCCCAGTGGTCTCCTCCTTTCCGGCTTTCCCACCAACATCCTATATGAATTTCTCCTGTCCCCCATTCATGCTACATGCCCTGCCCACCTCATCCTCCTTAACTTGATCTTTCTAATTATACTTGGAGAAGAGTACACGTTATGAAGCTCTTCATCAATATTCATTTTAATATTATTTTCCCATCTACGCTTAGGTCTACCAAGTTGATCTTCTCTTCATGTTTTCTTACAAATTTTGTGTATGTATTTTAATTTCGCCCACGTGTAATGCGTGTCCCCTCATTTCCTCGATTTAGTCATCCTAATGATATCTGGCTGGGATTGTAAATTATAAAGTTTCCCATTGTGGAATTTCTTCTAGATTGCTCTTAATTTCTCCGTTTTGAGTACAAGTTTTTTCGTGAGCTCTGTCGCAGTCATCTTCCGGACCGCTTTAAATAATTTATTTATTATTTTATTGAAGTAGTTACTGGAATTTATTTATAATTATTTTAATTTCGCCGCCCTATATATTAAATATAATACATATTCGATCATTAATTAAGCCATGATTTTGAGTTTTATAACGTCGTATTGCTTTGTCTTGCGCTGGCAATGAGATGTTTCGATGGAAATTTCGAGATTCCAAGGCGTCAGCTTGTCGCATTCTTTGACAGCTCTGCATAGCCATAAGTTCGAAGGCGACGTACCTCAAGCTGCATGTTTTGCACGTGCTGAAAAGGACTTTGTAAGTGCCAGCCAACCAAATGTGTATTACTGACATTCTGAACTCAGATCGCCTACCACTCGTTTACCACTTACTGAACCATGTTAGAACTAAGACTCCTTCGGACCCGGCTGACAAATTCACAAATTGGGAGCCTGGACTCTTCAACTGACTTGACCCAGAATCCGAATTAATTCGGGGTAAGAAGCCGACAAATTAGCCCGCGACTTTACTGCCTTTAAGCTTCGGCGTACAGGCTACGGACAAGCAAAATTTCACTATTGGACATCTAAATGAAAGTTAAAAATATGAAAGGAAGTAAGCCATCATGTTCAAACACATATTAGCCATAGGTCTGTGGATTTGCAAAACCTTCTAGGAATTTTTTATTACGGCATAAACGTTCCAAAAAGAAATTTATAGCTAAGGGCTGGTGTTTAATTCATTCCAAGGCGAGCTTAATTCCAAAAGAAAATAGGCAGCACTCACATCTGTATTCTTCCGTCTCAATTCGTAATTATTATAGAAGAAAATTCTTGAATATTTTAGGAAACAGTAGGAGACTGTAGTCTTACTCATGTTAACAGACAAATATGCTTAGAGCAGAAGGTCTGACTGACAACCCTATCGTAACATGATAAAGTTTAATATATCTCGTTCCTTGACATGATCTGAAGAATATGCAAAGTGATCGCGAGAAGAAGATTCCAGTTTTTAAGTTCACGTCTGCTAGGAAGCCCACGCTACTGGAATCACTTTCAGAAATCCTTAGGGATCAGCAAGAGCTGAACAAGGAGAGTGGAGGTAAGTTGTTACCGGTCTCTGTAAAGACTATTATTTTTTTATTGCTAGTGAGGTGGGACTAAGGACCTTGTACTACGGCCACTTCTGGCCTATTGTACCAGCCCCAGATGATAGGTGAGGGTGATTGTGGAGCAATTTGTGGAATGAAGATTGGCAGGGGAAACCGAAGTACTCGGAGAAAACCTGCCCCAGAGCCACTTTGTCCACTACAAATCCCACTTGACCCGACCCGGGATCGAACCCGGACCGCCGCGGTGGGAAGCCAGCGACTAACCGCTTGAGCTATGGCGCGGCCATCTGTAAAGACCAAGTCCACCGCTGTCGCCAGCGTCATCCGCTCTGTGACAAAAGTTCACGAAGATGCCAAGGCTAACAAGTATGTATGAGTAATTCTTGCTTTCACGTGTTTTTAACAACCATAATAAGCACTTTACACTCACCATTTCGAGCCTTCTGTGTAGTAACAAATTCACATGCAAAATATGAAGCCTCACATGATTATTTCTTCAGGTTCCAATGAGAAAGATTCATAGTCCGAGATTCACTGATTTTTTCTTCATTATTAACCTAAGTAACTTCATACAACTGGGCCCATCTTGAGAAACCGATAGTTGTGCAGCTACTCAAAAACATTTTATGGAACCCGAAAGTTCATTACCGTGTTCATAAGAGCCCTCCACTGGTCCTTATCCTGAGCCAGAGCAATCCAGTCCACACCACCGCATCCTGTCTGAGAGCTATTTTACTATTAACCACCCACCCATGTCTAGGTCTTCTTAGTAACCTCTTTCCTTACTAGCTTTCCCACCAAAATTCTATATATGTCCCTCTTCGCATTTTGCGTGTTGCATGATTTGCCCATCTCAACATTCTCGACTTGCTCATTCTAACTATAGCTGGCGAAGAGTACAAGTTATGAAGCTCCTCATTATGCAGTTTTTTCCAGCATTCCACCACTTCATTCCTCCTCGGTCCAAATATCCTCCTCAGCACCCTGTTCCCAAACACCCTCAGTCTCTGTTCTTCCCTTAAAATCACAGACCAAGTTTCATACCCATATAGAACCACAGGCAGAATTATAGTATTGTGTATTACAATTTTTATATTTTCAGAGAGTAGACGAGAAGACTTAAGTTTCTGTATTGAATAGTAGCAACCGTTATCTGAATTCAATCCCCTCTTAATTTCCTCCTGAATCAAATTTTGATATCTTACAGTCGTTCCCAAATATTTGAACTGTGCCACATTTTGAAAACACCTGTTAGCTAGCTTTACGTCAAGATTTTGTTCTGCATTCTGGTGACAAGACAGCAAGATTCATAATTATTATTATTATTATTATTATTA